TGTGTGTGTGTGTGTGTGTGTGTGTGTGTGTGTGTGTGTGTGTGTGTTGGACTCCAGTCCATCTGTGCCGGGTTGTTCCCTGCTCTGTAGTAAATGTTGTCTGCTCTGGCAGGGAGTCCATGTGAAACACTGTGAGGGTGACGAGGCGGGTTAGAGTCATGCTCTGTTACTTGTCAACCCATTTCAGGTCTCCTCCCTTCCCCCAGTGGCCTTCTGGGTCTCTGTGATCATGGACAACTCAGGCATAATATTAATAACTATGTATGAAACAATTCAATATACACTGACAGACTTATAAGTTGTCACCTAAATCCCTTTGACTCCACCGTTGAGAAGAGGTCCAGGCCTTTGCCAATATATAGGTAATAGCCCTGTGACACTCTTTTACCCTCTCCTGCCTCATCTTCCCTGCTGCTCACGTGAAAGGACTTGGGCTGGGACCGGCAGAGGTCTAGGGAGGGGGGATGGGCTGGGTCACGGCTGCAGCCTCTGCCCGACAATCTACAAAAAGTTCCAAATCCTTAAAATATAGTCACAGCTAAACAATTAACAGTTTTTATTAATATTAAACCTTTATTCAACCAGGTAATCCCATTGGGATTAGAACATCTCTTCCCCAAGGGAGCCCTGGCAAAGACAGCAGCAATAAGACTCTGACCTGTTAATAATTCTTGAACTGTTCTGCAGCTGTATCAAATGCTTTTATTCTGTATTGTGTTTGATCAAATGTGGTCACATATAGGCAGCTATAAACACACTATAGCATTTGTTATTACTTTTGGTGTGGTCTGAATCTGCTGTAGGAGGCTGCCTGAACGCTGCGGGGAGAAAGACTTCCCAAGAATTTTTTTTTATCTTGTTCCGCTAATTGACACATTTGGGTGATGCGTTCCCAAATTAAATGTTTGGAGTGTATCCACAGATATACCTGACTGGAGCTGAACAGTATACAGTTTGACACAAATCATATGAGCTTGACTAACCCAGCTAACCGGGCTAAGCCGACTAGCATGCTAGTGCTGACAATAACTGGTGAGCTGCCGAACTTTTCAGGGGGAAAAGCTCCAGAATTTTAATTTTCCGTGCCTGAGAGGAGTAGACATTGATAAGCTATTTCGAGAGTTTGAATTGCTGGTCGTACCGAACAGAAAACGCATAGATAACCCAATGGATGGTACGAATAGACGTACCGTTCCACCCCTAGTATTTATAAAAGAATAAAAGTGTATGTAAAACACATATCGCATGGCAGCCTTTTCCCCTGCAGAGTCACGCTATGCTAAAATGATGGACATGTCTTTCATTGGATCCATTTAGTGCTCATTGATCTCATGATTACCATGTTAACTGAGCTGTCAGCTTTGGCATCTGGCATCACGGATTCAGGCAGGGGGAAAGAAACAAGGGAGGCAGGCCCACATATCATGCATGATCACACAATCTCTATTGTCTCTCTCTGAAAGCTAGCCGGCTTAATTATGTGCTAAAAACGTCTTCGAACAAACTCCTTTCATAAAGTAATGTATACCTGTCCAGTCTTGTTTAGTTCAAGCGGGATTACAAATCTGAATACAAACAGTTTGTAAAGACACTCATACGTTTCAGATGAAAACATCTGATTGCTCAACATATCACCACTGTTTACTGCAAAAGCCATCTGATGGATTAGCGGATCAGGAGACAATTTCAAAAAATGAACTGAAAGGAGAAAGCACTAGACATGATTTTGAAAGCGTTGACAACTGAGTGATTGTTTTGTCAAACTGTCAAATATGCCTATCCTCCACTAGATTTAGATGAAGTGAGAATCTGCTCTGAATGTGACCACCACCAAAGGTTTAATGAGACTGTTTTAGGCCATCTTGGGCTCACGTTTATTATGCTGTAAATCTGGAGCAAAGCACAGAAATAAGGCTCTGCATCTTTCTTTCTCACACACAAAGAGCAAGAGAGAGCATCATAAAAAATGTATGCAAAAAAGTTTCAGGGATCCAAATTTGTATTAATATTCTAATCAAAAGCCTTTAAGTCTGATTAGAATATGAAAAAAACAATGCAATTATATTGATTAAAGAAATCAAAACTTAAACCCACTTGATTTGTGGCGCTGCCGACCTATATTTGGAGTTTGCAGCAAACTTGCATGATTATTGCCCACAAGAATAACCGTCATAAGCGTTTGCTGTCATGAAGAGCAAGTAGAAGTTTGTATTTAATGAGCCAAAACAAACAAAACCACTATAATGGTCATTTTTATAATGCTCCATTTGTCTTTGTAAAAATAAAGGGTTTTAAACATTTTATAATTTTACACAAAATTCAACAGACATCGTTTTCTGTATGTATATAGATGTATACATTTCTTTCTGTGATTCTTTTAGTGAGGAACTAATAATGTTAACAAATATAGATTTAATCAGAATATAGTTAGTTAACTAGTAACTATAGTTTCAAGCTAATAAATTGTATGCCGATTACTCAAATGTTTTCTTCAACCTCTGTGTGACTCAAGATCATTGCTTGATTTCCAATGTGAGAAATGAGATATAGAAAAGGAGTGAAATACAGAGCCAGACAGGACAGTGTCCACAGACCCAGACCAGAGCCCCAGGTAACAGATGGAATTTATTGATTTGGGATATATCTCTATTGGCCAAGTCCAAGGTCAGTGAACCTATAGCATCTACCTGTGAAGTGTTGTAGTCGCATTCATGACAGAGTTTGCATAACGACATCAGTATTTTGATCAGGGTTTGTACACAGCACACACTCCTTTCACTCTCGTGTTTTCCCCTGTGACACACCAACATTCTATTCACTGTGGTACCCAAGCTTTATACCCCCCCCTCCGTTTTTCATATCAGAATCTGTCCTGCTGACGCTGATCAATGGCAGTGCCGATGTGGAAGATGGAGAGAACAACAGAGGTATTGACAGCAAGAATGGATTTTGCAGGAAGCTAGTTGGCACAGTTGCACAGTGAATGAGACCAACAGTCAGGTGTTGGTTTGTCAAAGCAAATTACTTACTTTATCCATTTCTCATTTTCCCTCGCCCACCACTCTTCCAACTGTGATGAACAGTAATGTGCTTAAATTGACTTCAGTGATTCAGTATCATAAATGGAGGCAGTCATCACAACCACAAACAACCATCCACAGTAAATTGCATGCTGTTGTGTCTTGAAATTATAAATCTCCTTGCAGTCTAGCAACAGGGAACGACAGTCTGGTGCCTTTACTGTAAATAACCTCAAACATGCATGTAATGAGAGTATAAGCAATCTTTCCACGATAAAGAATAATCTTGTCAATACTCATACAAACGATTCTCTGGTTGAGTCAATCTCTTGGCTACGTTTAGCTTTTTCAACAGACATTACTGTAAATAAATGTATGCAATTGTGCTGATAATTCCTCTCTTTCACTCTGACTTTGACTGTTAATAGTTTTACTTCAGAAATAAAGTTGTGAGTACTATTTATAAAGGTTGTTAATGTGTCACTTTATTAGATTTTAATTGGAGCTGTGCCTAAACCGGCGGGCTTTCAGTTTGATATTTCCAATGTTTTGGTCGGTCACATTGACATGTGTCTGCTGCCGCTGCTTTGCATGTTTCCATGAACCCATGGTGTAAACAGTCGGCTGGTAAAATCATGCTAATATTTCAAACACAGCCGAGGGACAGATGGCCTGGCTTAGCGGACTTATTTTTATTTTCTCGAAATATGCAAAGAACACACAGAAAGACAGACAGATAGAGATCCCTTGCTTTAAAGTAAGATGTAAATATTCAAGCTAACAGTGTACACAAGGTGTGTATTTAACGAGTCATGCTTATTGGTGTAGCCTGATGAAGAGACGAGACAAAATTATGCACACACACACACACACGCAAAAAAAGGCAAACTACTTTAATTTCATATGGACATGGCCGATCTATTGTTTCAGCCACAGATGGCTCAGGCCCATTCTTAAGCCACACCATGCAAATGGTATGGATGGACATGGAAACTATTAAGTAAATTGACCAATGGTGCCTTGACTGATGTTGATGAATACACCCTAAATCATTTGTGTGACTGTCTTTGCAGGTGAAAAAGGCTTTAACTCTCTCTGATGAATGCATGCCTAGTGCAGACTGTTCTAGCTAATAGAACTGCATGGAAGACGGATGGCAAACGTTTCAAAGGGCAGAGTTCATGTTCAAAATCATCATCATGCATCTTAGTAGACCACAGGCTTATTGGACAAAACACAATTCACTCTCCAAACCTGAAATAAACTGTCTGGCTAAGTTTAGATAATATCTATTACAGAAAATAAACAAATAAAGACTTCTTATGAATGTGCCGTACTGACTTTAAATAGCTCAGCTCATCCATCTTGCAGATATGCAAAATAAAGCAGAGGAACATTTAATGAGCCCTTTGCAAGACGTGGACTGAGTGTCTGGCTTGTTACTGGAAACAGGTTTGTTACCAAACTGTTGGATGAAATGAGGCAATGGTTGAGAATAAATACAACCGTACAAATAGAAAATGTATCTTACGTAGAGTGATATACTTCTGTACTAAGTTTGAATTGTGTCGTCTACCTGCACTCTGTAATATCTCTGCACAGTGTATATGTGCTGTCTGCTGCAACAAATAAATCCTGTAATATCTCGTACACTGAATTTAAAGGGGACATATCATGAAAAAGAATTACTTTTTTGGTGCTTGTGCACAACCATTTGGGTATCTGGAGTGCCTACCAACCCACAAACTGTGGGGCTGCTTAGATTAGGAAACTTGATTAAATGACTCATTCAGGTTTGGCTCCCCTCCCTATGTCACATGCAGGCTCATGAGAATATACCGCCCCCCCCATCTGAGTATCTTCACCCATGGCTTGAATCTTTCACGTCTTCTCCAATACAGCACGGTTTTCATTTCGCAAATTATGGACCAATTTAGAGCAAAATAGATAATAAAGCAGGTTATACTTTAGGGCGGGGATTCCTTGATTGATAGATCGCTACCACGACGTTGTTCCGGTCTGGGAGTTGTCCGTGTTTTCATCTTATAACTTTGACCTTTTCAGTGTGGTTCTTTTCAGCCCTGATGGAAATGTCACAAGGATCCAGTGTTGCAATTCTATGGTGCACCCACTCAACTTGCTTTATTCTTTATATTAGGTATGTGGTCATTGCTTTTGTAGTCTGAGTGTAACTAAACTACTTGATTATGTGGCTGAATTACGCAGAATTTCATTGGCATCAATGTATTTTTGACAAGGATAAAACGTGTCTGCACTGCACATGTGATGTTTCTCAATTATGTGCATGCAACACCAGCGGTGCCATGGAGCAGGCTATGAACTTGGTTAGGGAAGTTACCCTAAGTATAGTTCTCATGTACAATAGACTTTTCTAGTCAACAAGCAGATGGAGAGTACAGTGCTAACCCAGAGGCCACCAGGGATCAGCTGTCCGGCGTACTTGCTGTCTTCGATACACTGATGGGCAGTATTCCCACTGCTGCTGTAGAAATGATGATACAATTGTCACAGCTGGTGCGATTTGCCATTTCAGACTTTCTGTAGATTCACAGCTCTATTATTTTGTTTTTGTCGTGGCTGATAACAGGCTGTGGCACTGTCATGAACTTGTACTGATTTAAATTTGCCACTTGGAACACTCTGACAAAGAGCATTTGAAACTGCATAGCATGTATAGAAAATTAACATTACCTGTTAAAATACACTAATAGAAGAAGCAATAGGAATACATACAAGCTGATGGCTTGCAGGGACATTGCATGCCAAAACAATAGGCTCAAAACAAGTACACAGTATATCCTCCTGGCACATTCTGGAATAAACGGTACTTTCGAAATATTTGTGGCTTCATCTGCACCATAAAAAGCCATCTCTTTGACAGTTGCAAATTCTCTCTAACGCTTACTTTAATGTGAAAGCAAGGATCCGGGGGAACCGGTATAGGTGATTGGCAGATCCCGGAAATCATATGGACTACAAATACTTTCCAACATCAATCACTGACAACAACCCAGTGGAATAAATGCAACATGTTTACCAATTACATGGGCATCCATTCAGTGATAAACCCCAGCAGCTTTCATGGGAAATACACGGATTGCCGCGTCCAACACTGTATCCAGTTCTCTTTATACATCCATTGTATACACAGACATACTTTTCCTAAAACCAGTAAACACTCTGCTGCTTCAAAAGAAAAAAAGAAAAGCATGTTACTCACTTAGGAATCATATTTTAGTGAATAGTCTTTGAACATATTAAAAATCCACAATGATTTGCTTCCGCTAGTACACATGCATGGTTCAATCCACCCACCCATCCCCACTGACACCTTCAGAAGGTGTCTGGAGGGACTCACTGAAATGTAAGACTTGTGCTTGAGGAGAAGTCTTTCATCCTTTCAAATCTACTAACTTTCTTAAATCCGGGACAGGTAACAAAAAAAAGGAACTTAAAAAAAAGCAATATATCGTCAGTAGGAGTGTAGGCAGACGTTCAAAATTGACAAACAGTATTCCAATAAAGTCTAATTGTGTATGCATTAAAATGGTCTGGCAGTGATGTTGTTTTCGTTATTTAGGAGATGGGTCGGAATAGCATCTGTCGGATTAATAAATAAAGATGAAATGCTACCAAGCTCTCTGGGAGAGATGGGGCGGAGCTGTATTCTTCAATGTGTGGGAGCTGAATACCTCTCTGACAGAGAGGGATAGGCATTATCGTTATTTTGGTTTTAGGAATTGATTTGTTGCTTTGGCAAGGAGTGCCATGTTCATGCGGCAGTAAGAAAAAATAATTGATGCATAACCATGCATTAGCAACTGTGGAAAAAAATCCTTTACCGAGGAGCACAGCCTGTTGGATGAGATCAAACGGTAAAGGTAGTACAGCGATACTTTTTTTTTGCTGTTTTAATTCTCATTCATTGCTGTTCAACACATAAACTAAAATTGCCTTCTCTGAATTGATCAGTACAAAAAAGACTAAAAGAAACACCCCTGCAGACCTTTACTGAGCACTACTAGAGTGTCCTGAAGCTGACTCCAAGTGCACAATATGCAACTGTTTATGTTAAATGGTAGAAGGTAATTCCTGAAGTTACAAGCTAGAACATCACAGCAGGATTAATAGTTTGGAACATTTATGCTGTCAGCCAGCAGAACTCTCTTCAGATACTTTGGGATCTACCAGATTTTGAAAGCCACTCAGCTGAAGTGGCTCATTTTTTAAGTTCATTTTCTTGCTTGAGGTTATTTCACCTTTTGGTGCTGACTATAGAGTATTCTCTTTTCAGAAATCATTCTAGTTTCCGCTAGTCCAGTCCAGTGGAGCTTTCCATAACTGTAAATTCAATGCTTCAATGTTGAAGACTTCAGTGTAAGGAAACTCAACTGTCATGTATCTGGGTAAGAGATGGATGATCGTAGTTGTCCAAACTTCTGAATGAAATCTGCCTGAGCCTGGACTAAAGCCTCCTCATCTATGTACACTGCCGGCCTCCTGGCTGAGACGAAGTACTGCACCTTCCTCAGGCTCCAGCCAAGGACGTACATGAGCAGGCCACACACAGCTGCCGTCGACCTGCCTACTCCAGCGTTACAGTGAACATACACAGTGTGACCATTCTCCAAGAGGCCGTGAAGCAAAAATACAGCCTGGGGAAGCATCCGGATCCGACCTGCAGAAGAAGAAAATAACACACAATACATTTAGAGGGAAAGGCTCGCGACATTTTATGTCTTTCTCATCACAATAAATACAAGAACAAAACTGACAATGTGTTAGTTCGTCTCTATACTTTGACATTTCCTTACTCTTGTTTGTGGCATTCAGCCCCTAGCCCATTCATTCCTACTGAATTCAATCTTTACAAACTAATCACAAGTGTATGTTTTTAGTTTTTTTCCTGGGCAGCATAGCTTTTTATTAACAAACATTAGGCTTTAGATACACAGATAATACTTAGTAGGATCAATTCATTGTTGGTTTTGGTATTGTTTAAATGGTATTGATAAGAACAATATAGAATATTGTCAGACTTATTCTTAAACATACCGTGACCTGTATGGATTAACTACAATGTTTAATACTTTGCATCACCTTTGGAGAAGACACTTAAATATCCCATAAAGGACTGTCGGCAGTTGTTTGCTTCAAGCCACCCCATGCATACTTAAAATGTACATTTATCACAATCCTTGTGCAGGTTGCTGGATCTCGAGTAAAATATCACATGTCAGGAATAAACTACAAGTAGTAGGATCTCTATCTCGGGTAAATTTGTTTAGACTTTGGTTTACCAAGGGCATTCTTTCTTTACTTAATTTCACTGTAGAAGTATATGTGGCACTTCTTTTGTGACTTACACAACACATGAGATACTATAGTGTAACATTCTGGTTAAAGGAAACACATGGAAGGTGATCAGTGGCCATAGTAGGCTATAATACCATCAATTATCACAGATTCTTTCAACTTGGACTTGACTAAATACTGTTATTATTATGTATTTATTCTTCTATGTCCCCAGAATTCTCCTTACCCTCAGTGCTCATGTCAGGTGTGGGTATCCACACGTACACCAGGCCACAGTCTTTGTACAAATGCATCATGGTCTCGGGGGTCATGGCTTCTCCAAGGTTGCGCCTGCAGCCTTCGGAGTTGTTCACCACATCACACTCTGTCTGGAAGTTCATCACTGCAGTAATCCCCAATTCATGCTTCATCTTTATAGTCACGTGTTCCACCTGTCGAGGGCAGCTGCCCAGCCAAATATGTGGCAGCACCCTGGGGGCAGTAAACAGAGATGCATTCACCATTTCTGTTTATGTCATTATTATGTTGTTACACATGCTGAACCAGTGGAGCTTGTGAAATGACTGACTACACAATAAAAGAAAGGCAAGGTAATGTACAGGTGGATATTATCAGATAACACAGGATCAGAATGGATATGCTTTTCAAGAGTAGTGTAGAGTGATGTTTTTATTGACTCCATTTAGTGCTCTTCTAGTAGATGGTTCTTTGCTAACCCAACGATGTAGGGATATACTTTTTGGAAAGGATGTCTGTTTTGTCTCTGGTGTTCAGTTGTATAAGTTTATTTTATAAATTGACTCTTGTTCAGTTCAAAAGTAAAGCTCATTGCAAAAAGGGTGAAATAACCTTCAAGCTTCCTCTCTAAATACCAGCATGAGAGACCAGGCACCTGCTAGACGGTGAGTTAAGGGGATTGCAGATATCCCCCAGATATTGAGTAAATTACATCACCACTGCTCATGTGTCACAGATGTGTGTTTATAGTCTGTGAGGCAGGCACATCAGAGGGGTGGTGTAACGGTGCATAAAACAGTCAGACATGGTGGGAGACTGTTGTTGTTGTTGTCAGTGGATGAAGGACCAAAGACAGACATTCATCCTCTGGGCATCATAGATATCTGCTCCAAATTTCACAATCCACGTAACAGTTGCGGAGATATTGCAGTATGGATCGAAGTGGTGGACTGACTGACTGACTCAACAGACATTGCCCTCCCTAGTGTTTGCTTTCCCAGTCGTACATTTCTGGAAACTTTTAAAAATAGGGTGCTGAAAATAAATCTGGATTCTCAAAACCTACAAAAACGTGCAGAATCAATGCCAGACAGATTGCAAAAAAGTGTTTGAACAACAAATTATGTTTTGAGGATCCCTTTTTAAATTCTCTGATAAAAGTTTAGCTCTATTTTGACTGAAGCATAGAGGGATTTTTATTCAACTATTGAGCCTGGAAGCTTTACACATGATAACATGACAATGATTTTCAAGTGACAGACAGCATTTATAACTGAATGGGAGAGAGCAAGGTCAAAAAACAAAGGAGTGAGCCGGCCTAAGAGGGTGATTGCAGCTTTGTCTGCCCTGTGAGAGAGTGACAACTTCCATCAAGAGAGGGCAGTGTGACATGACTGCCCCATCCTTTTAGCACGACAGTCATGTCAGCAGCAGAAGAAGTTGCTCTAACTGATCTAGTATCACAACAACGCAGAATTCAAACTTGGACTGAGAACTTACTAAAGGAGATTGGTTATGTTTGAAAACGGTAAGGAAGATAAGGGAGGAGGAGCTGATCAGCCCTCTGTGTGGTTCAAGAAGCAATCACACTTCAGCATGGAAATTCATTCACTTGCTACAGGCTACAAGGAGAGTACTTTGACAGTTTGCAGGTTTAGGGCTTTCTTTTGTTACTGGAAAGTGCAAATGTCCAATAATTCTGAACGCATAGTATAAAACATATCTGACTGCTTTTGTAATGTTTTA